CTTCCAGAGATTTAGTACTGGCCCATTCACCGAAGATACGCGGGGCTGCCCATATTCACTTTTCATAGTTGATTCGAATCAGGTCTATGTAGACGTGATTCTTCAAATGTCAGATTTAAAACATAATTTACAATTCTTCATTTGATCTCTGGCAGACGGAAGCAGCATCCATCTGGTGGTACAACACGTCAAGAAAAGTGTTCACAAATACCGAAACTTCATTCCATACAAAAAGGTGCAAACCGTATAATCTGGTTTGTCACCATCTAGAAAAGAGTATTTACATAATGTGAGTTCTGCATAAATTATTAACTGAGATTTGCACATATCATAAAGCTAAAATAAACAACGTAAGTGACTGGAAACCTAATAACATGATATACATGGAACAGTCACAACTCGAGTGTAAGTGAAAGAAAGCAGTAACAACAATTTGAGATATTATTACAAACATTGATTGCAACAAACCCGCATTGTTACAGGAGAAACAAGGAAGAATATTATGGAGACATGCCCTAACCATCTCACCTCGAGTGTGCAGCTTATACACGAAAACATAGTGAAGAGCTGTTTGAAAGAGCAAGGAAAATATTATGATGACCCTGAGCAAAGATTAATCACAATTTTTCAACAGTAAAGTTCGATCTAGAGAAAACGAAGCAGGGATACCGGATAATGCTGATACACACCACCCAGCATCTGCAGACAAAACTGTGATATTAGTGTACACATGAAGGGTGCAACTCTAATATAAACTCCAAGTAATGTTACGTATGAAAAAAACACCATGCTCAGTCCAACCTGAGATGCTGGAGCATGGGGCCTTCTAAAGCTTTAGCTGGGACATCAACAGAAATTGAGGGAGAGTGAGACTGAAGCTTCTCTTTTGGATCGTCCACAAAGGGAACATTTGCGGGCAGCGATGCCGTCAACCTGTCACTGAAACATAGATAGCATAATATGTGAAGCTCCGGAAATAATGCACCGTTTACAGTAGAAGTGAACAAGACCAACGAAAGAGTTCATAAGACCAAGAAACTAAAAAATCACCAAGACAATCCTTGCCTGAGTTTTGGATGTTGCTCAACTCGCTGCTCTGGTAAGGTTCCTTCTTCACGCAATTTATCTTGAAGCAATCGTCGATTGATGGGAGATCCTGAAGTCAAGCTCGAGATTGTAAATTTCATTTCGACTGAGAGAAAAGCGTGGAAAACTGAGATGGTATTAAGTAGTCTATTTGAATTGAAGAAAAAATGTTCCAGATTCCGTGGATGTGTAAAGGCTGTGGAACAGAATTCTACCAGAGCTCAGCGCAAATGTCAAACCCTCCCTGGGGTTTGCAGTGTTGCAAACGAAATTACTAGAATGTATTCATACTGCACAGAGATCTGCATATGCAATCAGATCTATTTCGAGCCGCCCTGGCGATAACGATGTATACTGTGGGAGAGGTTATTTTTGAGCTCTTCATGTTCGCATACGTTAATACGTGTAAGTAGGCGGGATCTGGAACGAAGGGCGGATTACGGAGGACTTCCGGAGTAGATTTCAGGCTTTTCAGATTTCTTCCAAATTTATAGATGTTAAAAGTCTGTCACTGCAACGCGAAAATCTTCTCAGTACCCAACACTTTACCGGGACGCTCCTTTGATATAACAATTTATAGAATGCGCGATTCGGGATTACGACTGAATAAGGTATCGTCTCTCACAAGGATCACAATAGGTTACATACGCATTCAAATATGGGCGAAAAGCATAGAATTAAGAACGGGTCGTCGGGTTGAAAACAAAGATCGTGGAAAACTTACCAATGAAAGAAAGCACAACCGGGAGAAATACTAAACCGTGCAAAGCTCCAATGATCACAACGCCGAGAAACATGCGGAAATAAAAGACCTGTAAAAGCATTGCTCGAAGGAAAACTACATTATAAGGGAAGTTGGTCGAGTACTGTGAAAAAGAAAAGGCTCACTTTGAATATCTGAGAATGTGCAAATGCTAACACTAGCGTTCCTCCCAGCATTGTAAGTGTAATTCCGGAGAAAACCTAAAAATAACCATAGAATACTGATAATTTCATATGAGCTGAGTGAATACCGTGGATCCCATTTGCGCAAGTGCTTCTTCAGCCCTCTCTATGCGCGTTCGTCGCACCGAGTGTGTAAATATCCTTATAGTATGAACGATAAATTCCACAGAGATACCAAGCGACTAAATATTTAGGTTATTTTTTGAAACGCTGGCTGTTTTCTGCCGTACTTACTAGACCGTAAGGTAAGGAAAGCTTACCATCACTAAATTTGCAACAGATATCGCATTCAGATCTATGCTCCACAGAACCATAAGACCCAGCATATCAACAAGGATACATACAATGATTACTACTATAATAAGCAGAATAAAACATTCACAAAGGGGATCACACGTTAAGCAACCATCACTTACCAGTAACGAAAGCACTAACAGGATCGAGACCCAGTAAAACACACGTAACAGCATAAACAACCGCCAGGGACAAAGTGATCTGAGTACTTGCGTCATAAATGATCGTTGAGTACTGCTCGTAGAACACGTAGAAAATACTATAATGCAGATGATACACGAGTGTGGTCGGATAAAAATCGACAAACCTGTATGGGAAAACGTGCACTTTTCCACTGAATGATTGCTCGATCTTCCGCGCAACCTTTCTTGCACCCTCCATGGCTACTGCAAATTCTCGAAGAAATATTGGGTTATAGTTATGAAATAGAGCAGCTTATAAGCGTAAAATAGACTCCAAATGGAGCAAAAAAGCTGAACTCACAGATGAACTCCCGAGAAGTGCGAAGCGGCGTATGGTAAGTCATAAAATGTGAGGCCTGCACGTGACCGCGTGGATTCAGAAGAATAGCATCCTTGAAAGCAGCTCTTCCTCTGAACAAAAGTTTTGTCTTCGCCATGTCATAAAAGTACCTATCTGTTTATGCTCACCCAACAATGCAGTTTGCATTAGGCACATCATTCATGAAATCCTTCAAGTGCTTGTAGAAAGGTTCTTCCGTTGGTCGTCCATTCCTCTGATTAGGATCGCAACTAGAGCAGTTGTAAGCTGGAAACAGATTCAATACCATGTGTAACCAAACAAAGGAGTCCGACTCACAGTCTTTCCTATTACTTGGGCAGAAAACATTTTTGTCGTAATTGTACACCTTGCAACAATCACTCTCTTTGTTGAGCCACTGTATCATATTATCAACCCAATTTAACACCGTTCCCTTGATGTACGTCCTAGAAGCAAATTCCTATTCGTAAAAGGAAATTACTGTAGGAGTGGTCGTACAAACCTATTAGAATGCGCAGCTGCTTCGTTCAATATTGCACCCACAGAATTCTCGGAACATCCACCAATAGTGCAGAATTTGTCCTGAATATCATTCCAACTTCGTATAGTAAGGAATTAGTAATGTTTGAAATCAGGCTCAACCAATCTTTTCCTCGAACAAAGAATGAACATAGTAAAACTCACTTGTATCTGCTTTGTATGCATGTCGAGTTCTCCCTCTACAACAAAGTAAACGGGTGGTCCCACATTCATCAGACGATCCAAGTTTTTGAAATGAAGGTAGACGTATGAGTCCTCAAAAATTGTCACTTTCAACCAAATGATGTTCATAGAGAAGGAATTGAGGTGCTTACCTC